GCGTAAGATTAATCAACGTCATGCACACTTTTCGATCAATTATGCACCGTGTTTGCCATCTGCTCCGCGTGCCCTAATTCCGGGCTCCGTTCTCGCTCGGCGCAACAATGACACCGAGTTGAATTGGGTCTGGGCAGTCCGGTTTCTCAAGCGCGCGAAAAAGTATGACGATGATGAATTGCGTCGCGTGGCGCGTACATGGAGCGATCTTACTTAAGTAAATGCAGATTGACAACCACTGTACATGTCTGTAATTTAGTGTCACGGCCGTGTACGGAGAAACGCGATCTCTCTCGTCGCGTACTTACGTACACGCGGCTGGCCACGATGGGCCTTACGAACACACTTGGATACTTATCGCTGTATCAAGGATTGTCTCCGACAGACCCGACAGACTTTTACCCTTACCGCGAGTGAGCAAACGAAACAGTCCATGACATCACCGGCCTGCAAACGCGTTCGTGATCATCCCCCTACCATCCAGTCCGTGAAATTCGTATGTCCGCTTATATGGATCGTTTTGCCTCGAATGCAACGAGAGGCGGCGCCTCCTCCTCTCGCGACTTCTTCTTCGTTTATATTTCGATATACACGTATACCTACGTGGATAACTATATCAGCTTCCTTTAACGTAAATCAATGCGTTACATGGGATATGTGTGCCCGTTTCCGTTAGATCCTTGTTCATAACCGTGGGATTAAGTACCGATCGGTATGCTCCTGAGCGTGATCATTTTTATGGTCGGCTCGCTTCGATGGAATTACCATCAAATTCTTCATTATACGCTCGGCAACTGCTAGTTAAACCGCTTAACGGTCTTTTCATTCGGTTTAATGTAATTTCGTTTGGCTTCGTTGATCGCATTATTACATGTTTTCCACGCTGTTGTTTACCACATCGAAACACTGTTCTCCATTATGCAGTTTTCCCCTCTCTCTCCCCCCCCCTCCTCCCCCCTCGATAAAATTGATCCTCTCGGTGTAGCACGTAGTTCCGCGGCCCTTGCAAAATGCTTTCTCGTTTGATTGAAACTCGACGTCGTGAATTTCACCGCGAGGAGGACGCGAAAGTTGCCGATAATCGAATATACCAGAAAGTATCGTGCGCCGTGCGCGAAAGTGCCGTGGAATTTATTTATATACACGAGCAAGCAACGCGCCACGGCTTTGGTGATTTCATGAGAATGACGTATTTTACGTATTCAACGGTAACCATGCGTGACCGTGCATTCGTTTCGCTTTGTGCGACGATGATGATGATGAGACTGGGCGACAAAGCCTAGGTTTTAAGTACATGCAACGTTCCGGAAGCCGAAGCTGCATTATTAACACGTTCCGTGCCATGTGTACCACCGGTGGTACACGTTAAACTTGCTCTTCAGACCACCATATTTCTAATAATATTACCACAAGTGGTACACGATGTGATAGCTAGGCCACCATATTTCTAATAATATTACCACAAGTGGTACACGATGTGATAGCTACACTCTAAACAAAAGAGAACCTAGTTTCATCAGTCGCTAAATGCTTTTGAAAATGCCCTATCGTTCACAGTAGTCATATATGTTAAATTTGAGACGAAGACTATGTCATTCGGGAGATCTTAAATTGAATTATAAGGGAATTAGGCCATTTTCTATCACACGATATTCTCGAATTAAGTCCAGCTGTCTGAAATTTACCAATCGCTAAATGCTTTCAAAACTCTTGTCGTTTGCAGATGTTGTACAGGATATTTCAGAATAAATAGGGAAAATTTCAGTACAACATATGTCCTAGTTTTGCTACGGAATACTTTGCGTCGCGCAATTCTT